ATGTGTTGTTGTTGGAACTTTAGACTCCTAGAAGCCTCTCATAGGTAGTGTCGTGCATAATATATGTTAATTTGCTTTTCTTAGCTTTCTTCTGTGAATCAGTCAGACATAACCCAGGGATTACTCAGGTCGGTGGGTTACAGACTGTAAGTCAGTGTATGGTACACACAGTACCTTTGTATCTTTTACTTTGCTCAATTGAAAATTAGTTTGCATATCTTTGGATAGTGGTGTGTCCTGTCTAAACAGGCCTGTTTTTGTTTAGAGATTGGATTGCACTTTTGAACAGTTAGTGTTACTAGAGGAGAAGTGGAAAAACAGGTCAATAAAGTCCTTGTTAAGATTTAAAAAGTTGTAATGCTTTCTGGAATTATGAAGAGTTTATTGATGGTGTCAGCAGCACAGGAGCTAGTTTGCACTGAGCAGACTCTATAAGGAAACAACAGTGTATATCATTATCTGGCAGATATTCCCTTCCCCTCTCTAGTCTACGAATTCGCCCACCTGATAAAGGAAAAAAGGACAAAATCTTAACATACAGTTAAAATATTTTCTCTGTGTTCTGTATTGCATATGTCAATCATTTTATCCTTTCTCATTGCTGTATGCTAATTTTTCTCCTTGGCAATTAGTAAATGTTGGATGTCAAATTAAGTTAAAATTAATGACAGAGGCAAATGTTGCAGTTATTAGCTCACAAGTGTCTTTACTAGTACTGTGTAGAGATGCATTCCAAGCATTGCAGACAGCTATGGATTAACCATCAGATGATGGTGAAGATTAATGATTGGCCTTTTAGCTCACTAATTTAGAACAATTTCTAGTAATTAATTTTGTATTATCAGCTTTACAGTTGCAAAGGCCTTAAGGAAAATAAAAAATTACTTACGTACATTTAAGGTTCTTCAAGCTAACAGTTGTCTTGTAAATTGTTGTGTGCATGCAGATCCTAATGTTTAATCTTTAATACCTTTATATACTGTGTTTATCTACTTCTGTTTAGTAATCATAATTTCTACTTCATTTTACATTTCTGTCAATACTGATTTTGTTAACCTTAGGTGTTTTCTTTGTTGTGTGTATTGTTTGGCTTTGTGGACTTGTGTGCTTCATAAATGCCATGTCATGCAACAGAAGTGTGGGGAAGAATTGTCTAGTGCCTCTTTGCAGTACCTCTGTTTCTTGGTTTCCTGTCAAACCAAATTAGGAATTAGTAGAGTAATCAGAACTGTTTGTTTAGGCTTGATGAAAAGTTGGATTTTACAAAGCAGTATTTCTTAAATTTATATTCTTTTTTTTATATAAATAAAAAAGCCCCAACCTTAAAATACCTGTTAGAAAAGTGCTGTTTCAGGTAGTCTGTGTAATTTTGTGCGTTGCTATGTTAATTCGACTTTTATTGAAAGGACACTATTTAATACATTGTGACATGAATTCTTGCTGATGTTTATGATCAAAGTAGAAATTGCTGTCCTTGTAATATGGATTTTTGTTTTTTGGGGGGAGTGATGTTCTCCTGTAGTTCTGTATTGTCTAATTTTCTTTACCAGTGTTTCTCTCCTTACAGTTTCTTGTATTGCTCTGAAATCAATGTAGTGTCTCATTGGATTGTGCTCAGATTTATTTCCCCATAAGTTTACATTGCCCATCTGTAAAGATAAGTTGTCTGTATTGACCTTCTCTGGTCTTTTTTGGGGGGGTTTATTAATTAACAGTTAACAATCCTGCAGAGCAGCGTTTCATTTTCAGTATTTCTCTGTAATGGCTTCCAAAGTATTGTCTATTCCCTGTTTCAGATAAAGCTGGTTGATACTATATTGCATCCCTGTGCCATACATTGTGTTTTTAGCTGCTGACCATAGCTGTGCAAAAATCAACTTGCTGCAAATATGGTTGCATCTCTAACCTATACAGTCAGTAGCATTCATACTTGTGAACTTTCATGCTTGCTGAAACAGTGGGTAGTTTTTAGATAGAATTTGCTTTTGTGATGGTTTGGATTAAAAAAATAGGGAATCTTAGATCTAGATGAACTTTCCTTCCAGCACTGAAATTTCAAGTGTCTTTAGGATTAAATGAGAATTTACGATATGAAGAAAAGAACTTGGAGAAGAGGGACTTCATTGCTGGCAAGGCAGTAAGAACTTAAGGCATAAGGAATAATTGAAGTCTTGACTATGACATGTTTATTAATGAACCAGTGAAGTTGCTAATGAGGGACCAGAAAATTTGGAGCTATGAGTAATGTAATATGAAGTATGACATGCACATAATAATCTTGTTAGGATCTTGGAGATGTGGTGGGATGGCTTCCGTGGACTAGAGTGATGCAATGAAGGGATACGGGCTCATTAGGAAGTACAAACTGGGGAGATGAGGAATGGGAGCTGCCCTGTATGTGTGAGGGAGTGGTTGGAGTGCATGGAGCTTTGCCTGGGGATAGATAGGGAGCCAACTGAGATTTTCTGGATTAGGATTAGAGGGAGGACAAGTGAAGGTGGTGTTATAGTGGGTGACTGCTGCAGGTCGCCTGATGAGGCAGAAGAAGCAGATGAGGTCCTCTACAGACAGGGAGCAGCAGCATCGTGTTTGCGGTTCTGGCCCTCATGGGCCTGATCTCTGCTGAAGAGGCCATGCAGCAGGACATGAGCAATCCAGGAATTTCCTTCAGTACACTGACAGCTTCCTCCTCCAAGTGATAGAGAAGCCAGTGACGAGAGGTGTTTTGCTGGACTCATACTCACCAACAACAAGGGGCTTGTTGGAAATTTGGAGGTCGAAGGCAACCTTGGCTACAGCGACCATGAGATGATGGAGGATCCTGAGGAGAGGGAGGAGAGTAAAAGCAGCCTTGAACTTAGGGAGAACAGATTTTGACTTGTTTTCAAGCAAGATTGATTTAATGCTGTGAACAGGATAGTATATGTGGTTGGTAAGAAAAAATCCGAAGCTGCAATAGGTTTTTGTAAAGGGGGTGGGATGAGTAACACACTAGAAAAAAGTCAGTGTTATAAAAAAGAGTATGTCTAACATTGTACAAACTGAGGTACAACTACATTTCTCCAAAAGTAGTTGACAGCCCTGTAGAATATGTTTATGGAGTAGAAAGTGAGAAGCCATAAAGTAGGTAGCTTTTACTCCTGCATATGGGTTTAATGAGACTTACACTGGAATGATGCACGAAAATATGGATGTTCACACTTCTAATTATTGTGGGATGGTGTGCTTTCTGGGAAGTACATATAAGTTTTGCTGAAATCAATCAAGGACATTTTTATTTGTCAAATGCCTCTTTAATGCTTGCTGGAATAAAACATTTTAGTAGTTTTGGAAATGGAGGAAGCAACAGGGAGAGAGAAGAGGGAAAAGTAGTTGAAGAGAAGGTCAAGTTGTTAAGATTCCTTCTTCAGAAAAGTAATATTTTGACCAAAGGTAGGAGCTTTGCCTAGTCATGTTCTGGAAAACAAATGAAAAGTGCAAGGGACAGCTTATTAGCGTGATCTGTTTTGTGCTTTGTGCTAATTACGGTACAATTTGTTTAGCAATACCATATAATCAAATATTTTACAGATCCATTGTGACAGATGGATGAACTTTCAGTCATTTGTAATCATTTACACTTGTACCTGAAGACCTTTTTTTTTTTCTTTTTAGACAATTGGATAAAATATCACAGTTCTTTTTCTAAAGAGCAAAGTTTCAGTTAAATGAACTTGAACAAATAACATGCTTTAGATCATGTGTTAGAATAGTACACTGCTCCTACAGTACTTCAATATTCTTGATTGATGGAGAAAATAGTATGTTAAAATGTTAATATTGACAGCAGAACCTGCCAAAAATATTTCTTTTTGCCTTTGCTCTTTCTTTGCTTCTCTCTGATTTGTTATCTATAATTTCTAGTATCTTTTTAACCTGTCAAATTATTTTTTGACTTCTCTGTATCATCTTAAGCAAAAATATTCCTACTGACTAAAAATCACTTTGAAAACCATGTACATGGATTTTTTAGGTGAGATCCAAATGAATGAGCTGAGTATGTAAGAGAATGTGTGTTCATGTATTTGGTAGAATGTGCTGGTCTAGTTTGTGTACGGAAAATGTTTATGATAAAGAAAATTTAAAAAAAACAAACCCTCAGCTGAAGCTTATGTTGGGAAAATTTTGAGAATTAAGCTTATGGATAAATAAACACTTGCGTTATGGAAGATAAATCTAAATCCTAAATAGAAAGGTATGGATAGACTAAATTGAATAACAGTGTAATAAAAACTTCAGTTAGTCTAGTGAGATTTTCTTTTAAGACACAACTATTTATTTGGGCAAATGAGTTTTATCAGTATGTATGAAATGAATTTTTGTATCTAGAACATTTTTTAGATACCTAAAACCAATAATAATATTTTCAGCTGACGTGTAGAAAAGTCTTTTCACTTGAATCAGATTGTGCAGCTGTTCTCCTGTGCCTTTGAGATGAGGTGAATACCATTCGCCAGATGAAATGTGCTCTGGAGAATTTTAGGTATCATTTGGAGATCCTCAGGATTTTGGCTTTGCTCCATACTTCTCTCTGCTCTTTGTGGGGTTGTACTTTTTTATGTAAAAAAGTTTTCAAAAGTTTAGTTATGTTTGTGGACTGTTGAGCATTCTCAAGGTGCTAAAATGGTGTGAAAACTCTGCTACTTGTCACAATGTCCCCCTTCACAAAAAAAATTGAGATTGTCAGTTAACTCAAATCTAGTAATTTTATGGATGTTATGCTTAGGATGTCCTTATCAGTCTAGGTTTTTTTGTTTTTGTTTGTTTGCTTGTTTGTTTGTTTGTTTTGTCCTGGAATAATAGATAGACTTAACTTTAACCGCAAGCAAGTTTTTCTTGTATCCAATATAAATTTGTGATTTGAGCATTGATTTTGGTTTTGTTTTTTCTTTTTTTTTTCTCCCCGAGAAAACAGTTATTAATATATAATTTTTAACTTCTTTTCAACTCTATTCTTTTAGGTAACTTTTGAAATGCACAAAGAGAGTCTTTCTCAAATGTACAGGGAGTACCAAGAGAAAGGAGGTGAAGGAAGTTCTTCAACTCAAATTAGAACAATCTCTGGAGCTAGCAAAGAAGCTGAAACCAAGGAAAAGCAACAATCTTTAGAGTTAAAAGAAGATGCTACTGTTCCTTCCTGCACTATTGATGGTGATACAGAGCACAGAACTGAAAAAAAAGAGACAGATAACTCATCAGGTGTTGACCAACAAACTCATTCAGTGTCTAATCATAAGGAGGAGTTAGAGGGGGAAGATAGGGATACTACACAGGATTTAAAAACAGTACCTTGTGTGGAATTTTCTCCAGAGTCAGAAACAGTAAAGCCCAGTGTTTCAGAAATTAGTTCTGGAATAGCTGAAGCAATTGAAGATTCTAGCAAAGCTGATGAGCTTGAGGAAGAAACAGTTGCTGTCACTGCTGCTTCTCTAGCAATGCAAACTACTTTGGAAGGAGAAATTCCTACAAGTCCAGAAGAACTGGAAAAATCAACAGTAGAGGTGGAAGATGAAGATGACTTTGTTGATTTGAAAGATGAAAGTAGCATGCCCTTACCTTCAGATGAGTTTGCAGAAAGGAACAAGGAATGTAACTCCAATGAAAGCGAAGTGACAAAGCAGGAAAAAACAACAGAGAAGGAACCTGAATCTGTGCTTTTAAAATCCAAAGGTACTGAAAGTGTGGATGTGAAAAAGGAAGAACTGACTTTACCAGAAACAGTGAGTTCTGCAGTTGCAGATGTTGTGACTCAACCAGATTCAGAAGGCAAAAAGATGGTGAAGGAAGAAAAGGTTAGTGAAACCAAAACAACTGTGGAAAATGCAAATGTACGTGTGCCAGAGCCTGCTGGAGCTTCCGACAAGAGAATTGCCAAGCTTGATGTTTCTAGTGTTGCATCAGATACAGAAAGACTGGAACTGAAAGCTAACACATGTCTAGAAGCACCTCTGCCCCCCAGATCCTTACCTGAGGTAAATTCTACCTGTCCTTTATTTGTCTTGCTTAAAAATAAAAGGAAGTTCTTACTTTGTGAAGTTTTTAAAGTGTGCCCATACACATTTTGGGAATTTTAATGTGTGTGAATTTTGTGAGTTATCTCTAGAATACTTTTAACCCTGGATTAAAATAGCCATAATTCTTACTAATCTGTGTACTGAGAAGTCTCAAAAATGTTATTTTTTGTAGGTTTACTTTGGTGATAGAAACTGAGTATTTGGCTAGATGGACATTTGATCTGTGTTGGTACTTCTGTTCTTAAATCTGATGAATTGAAAAAAACTTTTATTTATTCAGAGAGGATAGAATTCAGATAAAATTTCTTTTGCTTTGCTCACCCTCCCTTTTACTCTTTCAATCTGGTCTCTTATCTAAACTCTTATAATTATGGAGAAGTAAACATTACTTGTGCAGAAAAAAAATAGCAAAAAATTTCTTTCATATTCTGATGGAACTCGTGAAAATAAAAATTTTAAACTCTAAAATTTGGTAGGATTGTCACTGCATCACGTCATCCTACTTTTTTTGTTCAAACATAATTTAAAACTCTGCTTCTGTTGTGTGCTGCGGTGCTCCACCCCCTCTAGTCTTTAGTTTCTAACTCAGTTTTCATGGTTAAATAGTCATGCATCTGAGTGCTTCCCTTCTGCAGAGATACCTCCTAATGGATGCTCTTCATTCTGCACCATTCTTCCTTAAAGGAGGAAAATCACTGTCTACAGCAGCATATTCTCCCCCCGTGGTAAGACTGGGTTGCTGCTTCTGTGTGCCTAGATTGACAGGTGTGGTAGTGCAGCTGTAGACTAGTTTGTAGGTTTGGCACATTCATTAAATAGCATTTATGTAATAGTTTTAGCTTAATTTGTAACCGTGTACACAGTCTAAACCTGCTGGATATCTAAAATCTCAAGTCTATTAAAAGCATTTCGGTGTATACCATGGAAACTAATAATCAGAGTGTGGTATTTGGTTTGATTTTTTTCTTTTTTTCTTTTTTTTTTTTCTGCAAAACACATATTCAGACCTCAAGGCAGCAAGTTTCTTCAGGACAAGAGCTGACTGCTGCCTTGGATGGGCAGAGAAGAGACACGAGGTCAACTGTGTTCCGTATTCCTGAGTTTAAGTGGTCACTGATGCATCAGCGCTTGCTCACAGACTTGCTCTTCTCCATAGAGACAGATATTCAGATGTGGAGAAGGTACATTTCTATGCTTCATATAGAATGATCTAGACTGTCATTTCAGTTATAATTAGCTTTGTTGCAGCTGCATCAGAGTGAGTGATTGACCTCGAATTTTGGACATCTGGTATTTTACTCATTATTCAATAGCCTTACTTATTTTGTGACCTATACCAAATTATTCTCAAAAATTTTGTTTCAGCTTTTTACAGACATGCATGTGTATTGGTTGAGGACCTACACATAGATTTTGACTGAAATCCTGGCTACATATAAACCTATGGCAGTTGTGCTGTTGATTTTTATTGGACCAAGATTTTCGTTTTCCTAATGTATGTAAGGGCCTGTGTCTTTATAAGTATCTAAACACGGACTAAAAAAAAAGATAATGTATCCAAAATAGTGTTTCTTACTCCTGCATTTACACCACACTACCTTGCTGCTTTGATAGGGTTCTGTGAATACAGATTTTCATTTGAAAATTACCTTGTAACAGAGATCTGGAATGTAGTCATCAACATCTTTGAAAATGGTGGTAATTCTGCATTTTAATATAAAGATTTAATATCTTGAATAAGAGTGGTGTGTATTGTTAGCTTGTAATAGTGAATGTCAAATTTAAATTGAACCATATAGCTGCACTGACCTGATAAAAAAGATGAAGGCATGGAGTATTTAAGTGATTAAAACAATTTAAACTGAGGTGAATTTTTGTCTGACTATAGTTTTTAGGGTGTGTGTAAGTTAGTCTATCATAACATCATCAGATACAGGTGAAATGTATTTTTGATTTAGCTTCTGTTTTGCAGAGTTTTTGTGTAAGTGTTGTACGTTGTTGCTTTAGTTTTCCAAAGATTTAAGTTCAAATCTACTTCACAGATCCAGGAAACTGTATTCTATTTCTGGATACAGTGACTTTTACTATAGCAAGTAGTCATAGACCAGCCTATAATGTATCTTTATCCAAATGATGATTAATGCACATCTCAGTGTTTTTAGCAATCTGTGATCCTTAGCAGTTTAAGAACAGAAAGGAAAGGTAGTTTTAGGTTTAGATTGAGGCACATCAGTTGACCTTTACAGTCATGTGTTATTTGCTGCCCTACTGCTAACTTTCTGGTTTTAGTTTTGTGAAAACCTAAATGTGCTAAAATACCACAAAAATAAAGCTGTATTCTGAATTTTTTTATTTTTGGACAGCCATTCTACCAAAACTGTGATGGACTTTGTGAATAGCAGTGACAATGTCGTATTTGTGCACAACACAATTCACCTCATCTCTCAAGTGATGGACAACATGATCATGGCCTGTGGTGGTATATTGCCATTGCTTTCTGCTGCCACGTCTGCTACTGTAAGAAATTCCATTTTCATTTGAAAATTTATCACTTCTGGGAGGATGCCTTCCATTTATGGAGTGTATTAAGTATTATATCTGTCCTTTTGGGAAACAGGAAATGCATATGGGATAATTCTACAGACATCTCTTTCCTCCCTTTGCTACCCCTATGCTTTCCCTAAGATAAATTGAATGCTTGCCTTCTTTGCCTGAAGACATAAAAAGAGGTTACCTGCCTTCATTGCCCCACAGTGGTCTATAATGGGATGAAATCCCAATAATAATGATTGTTCATAGAATATGACTAATTATTACTTTTGAATGTGGCTGATAATTAACTTCCAGCACACATTTTTCATCATTTAGGTTGTAGGAATATTACCTTTGTGAAGAAGTAAATGTTGCTTTCAACTTTTCTCTGTGTAGCATGAATTGGAGAGTATTGAGCCAACTCAAGGGCTTTCAGTAGAAGCATCTTTAACATTTCTCCAGAGATTAATCAACCTTGTGGATGTGCTAATTTTTGCAAGCTCTCTTGGTTTCACTGAAATTGAGTCTGAGAAAAACATGTCATCTGGAGGAATTCTGCGACAATGCCTTCGTCTGGGTAAGCAAATAAAACCATTTAATGAGCATAGGAGCTTGCTGTTACTAAATAGTTAGCAGCTGTTAGAGTGGTTTATTTTTTTTTCCCCCATCCTTTGTTTTGTTAAATCAAGATTAAATTTAGTCAAACTTTAAGGTCTTTTACTATTTTACTGTTACTGTACTGCAGTGCATATATATTCATCTTTAGAAGTTTAAATAAAATAAATAAGTTTGGTAGCCCCACTGTTGGTGTATGCATGTTTTCATTTTATCTATGAAGATATTTCTTTTACCTGAGTTCCCCATATAGTCAGGGCTGAGAATATAGCAGTTTAACAGAAAGTAATCTTGTACTATGTGAAAACCTGTGAACTTTTTCAATACTTAGAAAAGATGTGTAAAGCCTGAGATCAGGAGATGAAGGTATGGTGAAAACTAGAGATGTAAATTACTGAAGGGTTCAAATTGGACAGTTGGTGTATCCAGTTATTACAGTAAATTTGCATCAAATTGGATTGAAAGAAAGGAGTCATTACCTAAGAAAGTAACAAATATTCTGGAAATAAGAACATACAAGATTATAAAAGGGTCCAGGTAGTTAATGCAGGAGGAGAGTATTCGTGCTAGTTGCATGCTCTAAGACTTTTTGTAATGAAAAGTTTAATTTGCATGAGTGCCAGAGCAGCTCAGAGCCTCAACAGTAACTAGCCTTCCTCTCCCTTTCTAGGCAATTAAAACTTTGTGCAGGTAGAACAAGATTTATGGGATGCAAACAGGTATAGAGGTGGGGTAGTTCTTTTTTCCTTTGAAAATAATACTAGTAGATGAAACAGGGCACAGTTGTGCAGCTAAAAAAAAAAATAAATTGTGTAAATTCAGAGAACATTTAGTCCAAGAGTAACAGAGTATTGTGAAGCAAACGTTGCCATTTGTTTCACTAGTGTATCACTTGTCTTTCTCCCTTGCTAGTCTGTGAAATTTAGCTGCCTTCACCCTACCCACCCTGTGGTTGTATGCATGGTGAAATTGCAATGAGGGATGATAACTTGCTCACTTTAAAGTATGCATTAGATACAGCACGTGTGTTCTAATAGTTTAGTATTAATTTTCAGTTGTAAATTATTAAAGACTTTTGAGCACTGTTTTGCAACTATTTAAAACTTGTTGAAGCAAAATGTTTTGCTGATGTGTGTAAACTTTTTAGTTTAAGTGATAAGCAGAACTGTGTTTTACATCTCTGTGAGGGAATATAGACAATAATATTTCTCAGAATAATTCTTAACATTTGTTTTCCCTTCAAGTATGTGCAATAGCAGTAAGAAATTGCTTGGAGTGTCAGCAGCATGCACAGATGAAACCTGTTGGAGACATTGGAAAGAACCAGAAACCAGTGCAAGGCATTATAGGATCAGGAAAGACTGCAGCAAAGGCAAGTTTAAGACCACATTCAGGAGCACAAAATTCAGTAATTATTACTCTGTACAGAGGGATAAGTTATTAGATTTATACTTGCACCACTGCTATTTTAATAATCGAAGGGTACGAGGCCTGGAAATTCTGAAATAGTTTTTCTAAGATGTGAATTTAACATTTATACTTTTAGCTTTTCACGGGGAAATAAATCTGTCACAAAAATTTGCCAGATTTTTTTTTTTAATTTTAAAGATGAAATGCATATCTGATCTTTGTGCTCCAATTATGACAATATGATGTGCAGTGGGTGCTGGTACACAATTAATGATTCTTGGTGGAATGCTTTTAAAAACAGAACCTTGAACAATTATGTGTTTGTTTTTTTTTTTTCAATAGAGTCCAGTGGACATTGTGACTGGTGGCATTTCTCCAATACGAGACCACGACAGGCTTCTGCAGGATATGGATATTAATCGCCTTCGAGCAGTAGTGTTCAGAGATATAGTAAGTTGCAAATAAGGTTGTTTTCTTTGTAGCTAGATTTCTGCATATATCTGTTTGCTCAACACTTTCTTTGTGTTACACAGTTTGGCTAAATTGAATGTACAGAAAGGGAACACTGCTCACAGTAATTAGGAGCTCGTAATACTCTGCAGCTGTTGCGGTGTTTAGGATTGGAAGGAGGGAGAGGTGAAGCCCAACTGCCTGCTGATCACGCTCTTTGGTGTTTTCCTAAGAGCTGATTCTCTGGAATTCTGCCTGTTGTATATTAAATATGTTGTGTTTGGTACAGCTGTGTACTTGCACACACTTTGGTACATAGACAAACTGCTTATGTATACTATGTATCATAAAGATGTTTATGAAAAATGAGTATCTTTCTAGCTAATTAGAAATTAGAGGTCATCTCTAATTCGTTTACTTCCCCTCAGAGGAACCAATTTGTGTGCATGTGCTGTAAGTATGCATATGTTTTTTAGTCTTGAATTGACTAAAAATATCTTTGCTCTGTGTCAGCAACTTTATAGCTGATATTGAGGAAATTGAGATTGATTGCTTGAAAAAAACACCTCTGTAAGCAAATAGGGCAGCTATAATGGCTGTGAGTCATTGGTGGCCACAAGCTTGGACACCAGAACTTACTTTACAATAATAGGACTGTTTAGCAAATGTAATGATTTATACAGTGACTTTTATTCTATCTAGAATAGAGAGTTTTATCTTTATAGTGTTTATTGATTGAAACAAGCTTTTTTTAACCCCTACTTTGATATCAGTGTGCAAAAGAGTAACAGGAATTGAACCTGCCATACTGGTGGCAACTAAAATAATCCTAATAATGCAATCTTCAAGCACATTTTGTGAACTCATTTTTTGCTTTAAAAAAGTCCACCAAAACAAAACATACACAGCTGCTTTTTTTTACATATCTAATCCACTGGCTTTCTGTTTCACAATAAATATGAAATGATGCAATAGCTCTGCTTTTTGGCAAAGGTGTTGAGCTGTGGAGAAGAAGCAGACTTTGAAAGGTCTATTTTGGAATAGTTTTTATCTGAGCTGTTTACACTTGCATCTAAATGTGTTCTTCGCATGCAGTTTCTTACATTGTATTCGGCACAGAGAATCATGGTTGGGCATAATTTGAACCTGTATAGGAGGAATTTGGATGGAATCCACTTAACCACCAGTAGTAGTACTTACAATGATACATGAGCTTTATTTCAAGCAGTTCTACAAACTTTGCTGAAAAAAATAAAGAAGTGGGTAGTGCTAATTCACTGAATCACAATTTTATTAAGTACAGTTGGAAACTGTCTTGCAAAGATTGATCTAGTAAGAAAATTCTTTATAATCCCTATCATTGTAGGCAATTTCCCCTAATCTCACACTGTGCTTGCCTTTTGCCAACCTGTTAATACCCTACTGTTTCTGCCTTGTCCTATGGAAGTTAAGATTTTGAGTTGAGCCAAGGTGAATATAGGTTGTTTTTTTCAGTGCAACAGATAGGATCCAGCTACATTATCTAGTTCTTAATAGAGAACTTCTCATAAACTTCTCCCAATATTGTTTATTAAAGAGCTCTTCATGGAATATGGAGCTTCAATAAGCACTTACAATCATGATAGAATGAGCTTTATAGTTTAACTTAGTTTCTCTGAACTTCTCAGAGGAAAAAATTGACTGTCACCTCAGCCTTGATGTAAATGAAGGGTACAAAACCCCAAACACCCTTCTTCTTACTGATTAGTCAGTGAGAATCCAACTATTCTATTCTCTTGTTATCCCTAAGTGTATGAAACTTTTCTTCTTTTGGCAACCAAAGGGGGCAGGCTTAGGCTAAATCTTAATGTCTGGTCTTCCCTCTGCTTCACTAGGAGCAACTGAGAGCTCTGGGGAAGAACATGGCATAGTTCATATTAAGATTTGTTTTTAAGGTTTTCTTAAAATCTCTGTATAAAGTTAGAGCTGTAATGCAAATGCATACTCTTGTTTAAATTGCACATAGTACATTACATCCATCTGGACTATGTGATGATGAAATTAAATCCTAATGCTGGTTCTGTATTTTGTTTCACCTCCTTCATTGATACATTATAGTTTGGTTGAGTGTGCTTACCTGTTGTACTTCACAGCAAATGCTGTTAGTGTCTTGGCACTTCTGAGGAAATGTAGTAGAAGAAACACCTGTAAATAAAGGGGACCTAGTCCCTGCACTAATTCGAAGCATGTAGTCAAAACACACAACCTTAGCCAAAGTTGTCATATTTATAAATGAAAAATGGAAGTATTAGTGCCACTTGAATACAATTGCTGTATTCCCCACCTTTATAGGTGAGACAAACTGTGACTAGAGAATATTGTTCTTCCATTGTTGACATATCAGTTTACTCTCGGTCTGTTTATGGTAGCGCTGGGCATACTTTACAGAAAAATAAACATGCTGCTGAAATTGTAATGGAAAAATCTGTGTGTGTCTCTTTTTTTTTTTTTTTACAGGAGGATAGTAAACAGGCTCAATTTTTGGCTTTGGCTGTTGTGTATTTTATTTCTGTGCTCATGGTTTCAAAATACAGAGATATACTGGAACCTCAGAATGAAAGACGACCACCAAACCAAAGCCAGTCATGCAAGGGATCAGAGAATGAAAATAATGAGACTCCTACTACAGGTGAACTGTTAATTATTTGACCAAATGAAAATAACGTGGCTTAAAATTCTGTAGAAGTCCATGTGAAAATGTACAGAAATATGTGCATTGTAACTACTGAAATAAACAACATTATAGTGTTCAGTTTGCCTCAGTATTTGTATTTCTTCTTCTGATCTAAGAAAAAAACTGTAAGTTGATTATGCTTTGTAGAGGTGGCTAATCTCACTGAAGCAGCTAAGTATTCATGAATATTTGTTGCAGAAATTTTACTGTACATTATTTGTAAGGTTAAGTGTGCATAAGCATAGACTGCCAGCTTTTTTCCCACTGTCAGACTCCAGTTAATTTTCATTCTTTGACTGATGTGTCAATATCTTCTATTTCCTTGTCTTAATTTTTGGATTTTACAATTTTTCAGGCTTCTCAGGAATTAGAAGGAAATTTTTATCTTCTAAATTTCCTATTAAATACTTACAAATATATTAAATCTCTAAGTAGGCAAGAAGAAACACTTATGGCTGTGTTATTTCACTTGTCTTCTATTGCTGTTACTTCTTCAGGAGCAATGTGGTGAATGCAGCTCTGTTAATAATGACCTTTAAATGTGTTTTCTGTTTTTTTGGTATGAACAGTTGTGGAAAACCCGTCTGCTGCTCTTGGTGCTTCAGCCTCTACGGAAGATTCAGAAAGTGCAGCATCTATACAAAGAAGGGATTCTGGTCTCGGGGAGGAAGCAGCTTCAGGACAAACAAACAATTCGAGTGGTGCTGCTGAAGCAGGATCTCTGAATGTCAGTGCAGGTCCAGATGCAATCAGTGAAGTACTGTGCACGCTCTCGTTAGAAGTAAATAAGTCTCAGGAGGGCAGAAGTGAGACAGGAACTGAAGACAGTAAACCTGCAGGTTCTGTACCAGCTGCAAAAAATGTCAATGTAAAGGACATCTTGAGAAGCCTGGTCAGCACACCCGCTGATGGGACTGCAGTGGATGCTGCTCTTCTTCCACCGACCTTCCTTGGAGTTCTTGGTGATGGAGCTGCTGAGCAGCCTGTACAGTTCCATTCCTTTGACAGGTAATGTGACATCTGAAATATTTGGGCTGTTTAGTTTTGCGTAGGGTATCTATAAGGAACAGGAAACCTCACACTTCAGTTCACTGGAACTCAGGTACAAGGTCATCTAGAGTTTAATAGTAATCAAGATGCTTTGATCGAGAAGTAGAACCTTTGGCTACCAAGTTACTGACATCACACAGGTTTTTCATGAAGGTATATTCTGCGTTGTATGGGTTGCTATGTCATGCTATGAAAGACTGTGGAAAAGAAAAATGACTGGTGATTGAGTTGTACTTGAAGGTCTTGAAGCCAGCACCTCCTTATAAGACTTAACTGCCCTGTCTCCATACCTGTTACAGCTCAGAAGCAATATAGCAAGATGGCCGATAAATTGCCTAGAAATGACTGGAAGAGTAAAAGAAAAGATTAGGAGTGTAAACTGTTCTTTTGTCTTTTCTGTTCTCTTCCAAAATGTATCTAGTGGCAAATGAGGACTGCTGTGCATATTTAGTTGGTTTTAAAGGCCTGCAGAAATAAAATGAAGTGACTCTTTCCTGATAATAATTTTGGTGTCCCCTATATCTCAGTCTCATTAGCTCCTTATCTTTTCCAAAGTATAGTAGACCACACTGTCTTTTACTAGACTTGCTGACTTTTGCCTCTTCAGGATTCCCCAAAACAACAAAGAACAAAAGAAAGAATCCCATAACACTCACATTCCTGCCTCTAGAAAAGCCTTGATGGTATCCAGAAATCCTGCAGTCGATCTGGTGCAAGGGGATCCCGTGTTAATATACTGGTATCTCATCCCCTGCTTATTCCTGAGCTTCCTCTGGCTCTGATGTCTTTGCAGTCTATGGCTGCCTTGTTCAAACTAACAGATGACCCAAGAAAGGAGTGAAGCTCTGCCAGGGGTATGGATGCAGCTGTCACAGCATGTCTTCTCAACTCAGATTGCCGTATCACTAGTGGGGGAAGAGACAGTGGTGGTTGTCTGGCTAGATTAGACACAGATGGTGTGTGCCAGCCAGCATTTGGCCGCTTGCTCTTGTCTCAAAGTAAATACTGTGTTCTGTTTGTGATGCTAAACAGGAGGACTTGTTTTGAGAGCAGTAGGAGGATGGAGGCAGAGGGGGAAATTGGTAGAAGGGGTACACTGAATTAGAACTTGTCACACCTCTCTCCCTGCTGCTGCCCAAGTGCTTTTGGCAATTTTACTTTGAGGTGTCTCATTGCTCTTTGCTACACGTGGGCAGTCGATGTTAAAGAGTGTAATGTTTTAGTCTGTGAGTGGTGTTTTTTCTCATAAAATTCTTATTATTCATTGCTGCTTGATAGAGATTGCATCCACAAAGTAACATCTGTCTGGAGATCTGATGCAGAAGTGCCTGTTGCATTGAGGAGTAATTTTTTAGCTATTGTTGAAACTGAAGGTTTGTGCTGCTTGTGAAAATTTGATTTGAAGTGGTGTAAAGCAAGTTAACTAGACAGGAAACAATGGGGCACTTGCAGTCCTGGTAGCTGACATACAGAGGAAGCTGTACAATTTAATTTGATCACATATACAGTAATGAAATACTGGGCACTGATAGCAGCCCTTCAGTCACTTGCAGTTTTGTGTTCTTTTATCTGTATAGTTGCAAAGTCACTCAAATAACACAACAAAAAAACCCCTTAAACTGTGGTGTGCTTCATGAAGCAAGATACTGAAAAGTTGAACTAATGACTATTTTACCCTTTTACTTTTCCGGCGCTACAGTGTCCTGGATGGATCCTACTTTTCTTTTTCCATCTCCAAAGAGCCAACCATTTGTAACAACTCTTGCAATTCTTTCACTTAACCTTGAGGCACAGTTACTGCATCATTACTGAAAGGAAGCTGGTCTCATGAAAGAATATACACAGAGGAGTGAAAGGAGTGCATGGACTGAAGCAGTGGACAGCACTGTGCTTTTGGATGGAAGAGCAGAGGGCAAGGGATTTTGTAGAGTTTTTGTAGCTGGATTACTCCACAGTGAAAACTTGTGGGTGTTTGTTTCCAATGATTTTGTGTTTAGTGGGTGGGGATAAATATAAGAGGAGATCATGAAGCAGTATGAAGTATTTTGTCCTTCAGCAGTTGCATGTGACCTCAGTATGTCAGTGGCCCTGTGTTTTGCCTGAATTTTTCATTTCCTTGCTTTTGTGGGTATGTCTGGTAGGCAGAAGTGTACTTAATGATGCAGACGTCTTACCTCTAATCAGTTATCATCTGGTAGTGACATGCACAATCTTGCATCTATGGTAAATATGTTGATATATGATAAAGCATGTTGCTAACTAGCTAAGAAATGAGTTATAAAGACAAAATAACTGTGTATATGAAACTTATTTAAAGTTACATAGACAGGAAACTTTCGTGGCCACTTGAAGGTGACTGCATCTTTATGCAGTGTGACTGCTTAAAATACAAGTTTATGCTCTGAAATGACACCTGGTGACAGCAGTGGGGAGGAATTGTGCCAGGGATAAAAAAAAAGAATCACCCTTTTTACAAGAAATTGGAATAGAGTTTGAAATAGTAGCTCATCTCTGGGGTAGACAAAAATACGAAGTTATGTTGTGAAAGTTTTTTTGGGAAAACCGGCTTTGGGATGCTCTCTTATTTTCTGTGTCTGGTTTACATTTAGTATATTGTTTGATGGCAAACACAAGTTCTGTGAGTTAATTTTTTTTTTTTCTTTTTAGAGGCACTTTGTTAAAAGTTGTTCCCATGTAGCAGTTTACCAGCAGGGTATCTCTGGGAATTTCAAAGCATCTCTCTGATCCTGCATTTATCTCAGGAATGCTGTGTCAGAAATCAAAACTCTCCTCATATCTTAAGGATTATCAACTTCCCAGCCATAGCTGGAGAGTATACAGTAACAGCTATGTGAGTGAAACCTTACTGAAAGGCTGCCAGGTTGCAAGCCTTTGCAAACAGCTAGGTGTATGTGTTCATTCCCATGCCAAAAGTCTTCCCCTTATCTTATGTGAAGATACAATCTTGTGATTAGTGGGTGCCAGGGGTTTATCACGATAAAGTTCAAGACTTGCATTGGCTTTTTCCCAAGATCCATAGGGACATGAGTTAATGTTCCAATTTCAGTGTGTCCTAAACCAGCAGTTTTCTTATTTAGTAGTAATCTTGTAGAAAAAGGAGGGCAGGTTAATGCAGGCAAATTTAAATAAAACAGAAATAAAAATAACCGAAGCTTGGGATGAAATGAGAGATGACATTTCTCTTCAGTTTAATAAAACCCATAACCTATCACTTGCTATTTTTACTGTGCACTTTAAAATAAAATTTTGGTCTCTCCTGGATTCTGCTGCTTGTTGTGGAAGCATTCAATAACCATGTCATTATAGGAAGCTGATGCTGAGGGTTAGGAGGAATATAGGCTCTTACATCGTGATCTTGTACCATAGAGCTTAAATCTGCAGCTGTGCTGTAACTTACAGAACAGATATGTTACTAAGCTTGTTTATCTTTTTGGAACATCATCTATAAGCTGCTTGGTTTGGCTCAGACTATGTTTACTTGTTTGTCAGTCAGTGGCATGCATGTGCCTTTGTAACGGGTTGGTTGTGGTATTTTGGTTAAATTTCATTGAAGTGCCTTTTTTATATGGAATGAATACAGTTTAGGCTTCATTGACTTGGGCCTCAAATGCAAAAAGAATACACTCGTTGTTGACAAGATTAAGTCTACCAGGTGTAGGTAGAGAATATGAGAATGGGGGATCTGCAGATAAAGGCACATGTGCTGTGATGAAAAGCTCAGCTCTTTCAGCACACCAACAATTTACATTCTGTAGGGGCTGAAGAGCCAAACCATTTGAAGTCTTCTCCCTGCCAAGCTGATTTTAAAGTTCTCTTACAAGATCGATTGTGTTCTTTCTATCATATCTTCTCTTCCCTTCCCCCCACCCTCTGATCTCTCATGGTTTTGAGAGTCTCTTATTCTTCCTTTCTCCTTGGGTATTTCAAGGGAGACATAAGACAATGGGTATTATCTACAGACAGCAGAGCCCATAGAAGGACACTGACATGGCAGGCTGCTTTCCTGCCTCACAAAGTAGAGGTGGAAATAAATCTCTGATCCTCTTTACTGGTCTTTGCCTTGCAGTGGGCATCGTTTTGGTAGCCTGGAACAAGGCTGTTTTCTTTTGGTTTTGAATTAAAACCACTATCCTATAGGTATACAAACAAACTGTCACCTTTGTGGCTTTTCAGTGCTTAGAAATAGAATGCTAAGAATGAATCTGTATAAATCTGTCAAGAGGAATCAGAGCTCATGTAAATATTTTTAAATTACAGTGAGGTCATCAGCTTGGGCTGCCCTGTGTTGTATTAGGAATATTTGACTTGTACCCAAGGAAAATTTGTAACTTGAAATGTATTTAAAATGAAATGGGGACTTGCCAACTTCGTGAAAAATAAACACTTGGGAAAATCCTAAAATTTCAGGACGTGTAGATATTTTCTATCTTTATATTGAAACAGAAGAATCAGTGATCTGAAACCGAGGAAGGGTTCAATAAGTAAATCCTTATAGAATTTGGCAGAATAGATCATTATTGTGTAAGCCTTTGTCTGTGAGGGAAGTCAGTGTTCAGCTCAGTGGTCTGTGCTCATTCAGCAGTGAATAATTGTCTGCAACACGAAGACTTCTTACACTTCAGCATAATTGGGACTAATAACACACTGACCTTCTGGCTAAGATGTATTTATGGTGGCTAGTTCTCACTATGCCTGACCTATGTTTATCAGTTCACGTGCTGTAAATTCTTACTTTAAACCTTAAATATTTGATTTTAAATGAAAAAAAAAGGCAAACATCTAATACAGTCATGTAAATGAGGCGTTCAGAAGTATCATTCTTACTTAGTAGTGCTTGAGGTCTCCTTGAAATAGACCGTAAGAATATTTTTTTGTGCAGTTTTTCTGGTTTATTTTATTTTTCCTGTGTTTGAATATTATGGTAATGGCTGTTTTAATATACAAATGTAACTCAAAAATACAGAATTAGTTTAAGAGGTGGGATAATGTGAATCTTAAGGAGTAAAATGTATTGATGCTTTTTTTCCCTGTGAGGCATCTCTGCTCGTGTGTGAGGTTGCTTAAGTACGTTGTTGTTCTGGGGAAATTAATGCACGATTACAAATGCTTTTTAAAATATTTTTGTAGATCTGAGGAAATGTACTGTAAAGCCACTTATCGATGAATATTTTATTCGTGTGTGGCAATATTTAACTTTTTAAGAAATGCTTGTCAGTTTAGGTCCAAAAAAAAGACTGTCTTATCCGTGTACTCTTTAAAAGCAAATGCCTTATTAGTTAAGGGAAGTTGAAAGCACATTAATTTCTAAGACACTTCTGACAAATTTACCTGATTTAATAATGGACTAAACACTGTTTTCCACAGAGTTTATTTACTGCAATATTTAATCTTGATTTTCCACTGTCTCGCATTCTTTCTGCCAGTTGCATTCATTTTCCTTATATTAGCATTTAAATAATCTTCTGAAAGAACAACACAAAGGAACATTGGTAGTTAATGGCAAATATTTCTGTTTGAACGTGGTTGCATTTCCACTTAAATATTCAAAGAAAATATCGTTTTGCTACACAGAGAAGGAAAAACATAGGAATTTCAGAATGTAAATAAAGAAATATGACCAATGTCTATGCTGCAGAAATCTTAATTTGCTTGCCAGTATGTGGTAAATATGAATCCTTGTGATTGCTGAAATGAACTTCCATACATTTGAAGGAGGTTTGGAAATGGAAGCTCCTAAACCAAATCCTGCAGCTGTAGCACTGGTCATTTTGCACTGTTGAAAAGGAGAACATACAAGGCAATAAATATTACATTACCAATAATGCAGCAATGCACAGCTGCCAAGTCATTATGCCAAGATACTTTGATGTTTTGGTTTGTGATTCTTGAACTATTTTAAGGGGTTTTTTTGCATCAGAGGGTCATGTCAACTGAGCAGAAGACAAAGTACATTCACAATTTGGGGATTTCTTACATCACGTTTTTGGACAATATCCAACATTTCTTTTGGCTGTGCTCTTCAGATTGACACAGCTCTCGGAAGGGACCTTCTTTCCTCACCAGAAATACTGTTTATTTTATTTTGGCTCGCAAAGAGGAATAATTTCAGTTGACTGTTGCAGATTGCTATCTAAAATAAATTCTCTTCAGAACTAGTCCAAGGCTAGAAAACAGCTTTATAGTGAGTTTTTCAAAGCCTCTGTTTTCTTCCAAGGACCCGAGATCTAGAAGGGCCTTTTTATTGTTGAATTTATGAAGTAGATTTTTTGAAATCTTTTTTTTTTAGTTAAAAGCTAAAACTTTTTTCAGTGAGATTCAGTAAACAATCTGGGTTTCTCAGAAAACTTTGTGAGAATCAGTGTCTCCTGTTCAAAGCATGTGGTGACTCTGGAGTACACAGGCACACCCATATGTACTGTTTAGCAGCATATGTTCTTCTGTACTTCGAAGTCTGAAACATGTATTATTCATTTTTATTCTTTGAATCAAAGCAAAAGGAATGATGTTGGGTAATTAAAAAAAAAAAAAAGGCAGCCTGATAACAGCTCTACTTTGCAGCTGCAAGTGCCAGATTTCCTGGTGCTAGTAGTCAGAGTATCTTCCTTGTAGTGAATGCCATTGCTAGATTCTGAAAGCTATATTGGAAGTGTTAGAATATATATAGTTCCTTTTTTTAAAATGTACTTCCTGGAAAGTAAGTCACTGAAGGTGAGAGTAGCAGCTGTACTTGTATTCCCAAACTTCTGCAGATTTGAAGGTGAGAAGGTATACAAAAGATCTTAAAAGGCAAAAGGGACTGTTGTGGTCATTTACTGCTGTCTGTTGCAGCCCAAGGGGAAAAAAAAGTCTTAATTCCTTTGCTTGAATGCACCTTTCCTTGGGTAGCTGGAGAGAGTCTGACAACTTGCTGAAACTACTCCCTCAGTGCAACTACACTTAAGAACTCTGAAGGTCAGTAGGAGTTTACATGAAGGAGTGATAATATGTAGTGTTTTGTCAGAAACAGCACAGAGAATGGAAGGCTCTTTAACTGGGATTTCTTTTGTCTGCACTCATTGTCAGCTGCAGAGGAACAGTGTTAAGGTAACAGCTCTGTCTGCACACGGGCTTCCTTGCTCCCATGCAGTTCCAGAGCTGTTACTTGCCCTGTGAGGAGCTGCTTCTAGTAGTGCTAAAACTTACTCCTGTTCTAAAACTCCTTCTTGATCTTTCCAGCATGTTCATTTCTTGAATTTTATCTAAAAGGGGTCTTTTCTAATATATAAGTCAAAATTCAGCCATTTATTTTTTTCTTTTTAAGGTGTGCTTCTGTCTTGTTCTTTACAACCTATAATGCAACCTGTTTCCTAGTTCCTGGGGCTCTAGGATCAGAGAATAGGATCAGTAGCCTTTGTAGGCATTTAGAGGACACAGCCCTTCTGATTTGATGTTTTGAGAGAATTCTCATGGACTATAAGCCCTGGAAACAGAAAGCTTCTCTATAAGATTTGTTTTTATTCTCAAGGTCATGTGATGTTTTCCAATTTAAAATTAATTACATGAATTACATGTTTTGAACAGACACAACCTGTGTGTTCACAACTTCCATCTACAGGTGCACCAAAATTTGTCACTAAATATTCTCCCACCCATATCACCTTGCATCCAATATAATGGTGTCTGTATTAGCTAGCAGCAAAAGGATATTGTTTCTGTAACTTAGTGGGTGTGCAAAGAAAATTTTCCAGATCATGCACTAAGGTCTCATGGAGTCCCTCTGGATAGACACATATTTATAATCTATCTATATGATTTTGGGTTTAATATTATTGATTAGTATTTCTTGAATTAGATATCTATACAGTAAAAGAACTTAAAATCCATGAAGGAATACATCTGGGCTTCAGTGCTGTATCATGAATGTTGGAGAAATGTCTGAAAGTTTACTATGTGTAGGTGAATTTGTATTCAGTAAACTTGTATTCATTTCCCAACCCCTTCCAGCTGTTTGAATGTGTTTTATAGAATAGTAGTAACAGTTTCCACATGGTGAATGTCACAGAATCGAGTGAGAGATCCCCTTCTTAAACCGGGGTGATGCCAAATTAATTGGTAATGTAGTTATAATTTACAAAACTGTCTAAATATATATATTTTTTTTAAAGTCCATTGTTCATATTTCAGGGAAGCAGACATGAACATAAGAGGAAAATTCATGGTTTAGGCACAATATCTTGACTTGGGGCTCAGGTGTTGTTGCTTCTATTTTTTTAGTGACTAGTTAACATTAGCAGTCACCCTTATAATGATATGACATGTACTGCCTCCAAGTATGGTGCCTGCCTACTCCTGCCATTAAGAAGGGTTGATTTAATCAGTAACGTGGTCTAGCTTCTGTGACATCTTTTGACATCCTGTGACTGAAGAAGGGAGTCACATACAGTCAGTCCTCCTCTCCCCGGTTCCAGCAAAAACTGTTTTAGAAATATTTGACAGAACTTCTTCGGTTGCTATCACACCTGAATTTAGGTCAAGTTTCTGAGTTATTTTATTTAGAAAATGAATATTTTTAAAGCTATTAAGGGAATACTTCCAGTGTGTAGTTATATTACCGTCAACAAAAGATGTGATTAAATAAATTGAATGTTGAAGATTTTCGGCTTATGGTTAACACCAGGTAATTAAAAGTAAGCGCTGCAGTGGGAGTACATTATATATCAGCTGTACTCTTTACCTCATTAGCTGGGGTTTTGCATGTTTATGGAGCTAACTTGCAATTAAAAATGCCTTTAACGTATGCTTAACAAGGCCTTTTAGGTATTTGGAATAAAGTACTACAATTTAATTGAAATTGGTATAGCATAAATAGATGTCTTAGTAACATGTCAGATAAATCTCCATGCCTAACTTGTCACTTTGCATCTTTTCCTCTGATGTAGTCTTTAATGCTGACTGTAAGGCCTGACATTTAACTTGTATAAAGGGTGGGGATTCTCTCTTAACTCCAAAGAATGTTTTACTTTGTTATATAAATAAAACTTGATTGACAAGATATACTCAAATTCATAGCCATATTTTTAAGATGTGTGAACATTTGTATGTGCATGTGGATATGTGTTAGAATAGCTTTAACCACAGTATATCCTTCTTCAGTCAGTCTTCTATTCTGCATTAGAATCCCAGCAGTAGTAGACTTCAAGACAATCTTTGGTCTTGATAATTCACCTTAATATTTTATTTTTAAATACTATGACATCTTTTGTAAATGTTACCTGAAGTTTAAAACCAAGTCTTGGGGAAACTAAGGTGAAAAGAAAAACCCAGTTGGTGAACATTTATCCTGGTGATCTTCAAACTGTGTGCTTGTTTGTCAGGGATTTTGTGGAAGTGGATGGGATGTTAAAGTGTACCATAAAAAGGTGGTACCATAAACAAGGATGAAGTGTCCTTTAGGTTAAGGTGGGTTACAAAAGATGATGGAAAAAGAAAGTAGGGAAGGAATGGTACTTTTGCGGGACATAGAACATAAGTACTAGAATTAAAAACGAGGATCACGATGTGTGAACCTTCACATACAGTAGGATTTACTAACTTTCTGTCTTCACCTAGGAGTGTTGTTGTACCACCGAAGAAATCAACCATTTCCTCTTCTACAGCTGCAGTTGGTATTCCTACAAATGCTGTCAGTGTGGTTTCTTCTTTAGATTCAGCCCAAGCCCCAGATCTGTCAGGAGAATCTCCTGGTAAGTAAGGGTAAATTAAACAACTTAAATACCATCCCTTCCTCTGTTGCTTTTTCTTCCCTCACCACTCACTTGGAATATAAATAAACAGTTTTTTGTTACATGTTATTTGTTAAGGTGAGATTTTTTTCAGTAGTTATCCATATCACAAAACACTGTTGGTGAGAACAGTTGTTTTTCAGACATTAAGTCATTAGTTGCCTTCCATTAGTTGCCTACTGATTTGTGTATAGGTATGTGTGTGTATATATGAGTCTTACTTGTACCAAGAATATTGATACTTAATTGCTGGTTGTATTTTCTTGGGGGGAAATGTGCCAGTAATCTAGGAAGATACTGTTTTACGTTCTGTTTGGTTTTTTTTTCTTTTTTTAAACTACTGGAGTGTGTGTGGTATGTCCTAAATTATCAAGTCAGACAAAAGGACCTTTGAGACATTTTTACCCTGCATACTGCTTTGACTAAACTTTGTCATACACTCTCACACAGCAGCTTGCAGGCCTGCAGTTGGTACCTGTGCCTCTAACAAAGGCCAGGAAAATAGGCTTGGCTTTAAGTTAGACTGGACCAATTGTCAGTGACATCACTAGGGTTCATGAATATAAGAAGTCATACTTTTGGATATTTTCTGAGAATTTGTCCCCCAGATCATTTTATTATTCCTAATTTTGCTGCTGTGGCTACACAAATCTAAAAAACTAACCTGTTTATAAATAAAAAAAAAAGCAAAAGTAATGCTGTATTAGAAAAGCCCCAACTTTGCAACAAATGCAAATGTCTGAGCAATATTTGTCATAATTTCAAGATTTCTCACTATTTTGTAAAGCAGGCATACTATATTAACTTGTAAATCTGGTGTATTCTAAAGACTACTTTTTGTTACAGATTAATTATGTAAAGTATAAGCTTATTTATAAATTCTTGAGTATTTGCCTAAGGATATATGTGTTAGTGCTAAGTAGAACTGAAAATTATGTACAAGTGTTTCCAATAGCTTTAGCCTGAGGTCAAATTCAGTGTTGATGCCAAACTAATTGCTTTGGACAGTTTTTTTCAGTGGGGACAAAATTGAGTAGGTTGTTTATAAACAAGTGTTCTTTTGAACCCTTAGTCTTTCTGGTTGTTCTTGTATGAGATAAATGATGTTTAACCTTGCTGTGTCAAAGGCATGCTTTTCTACTTAGCCATGTTTGAGTCACAAGGCTGTATAGAATCTCATAATCATGCCCATGAAGTTTGATTTCAAGACTTAGAACTGATTTGCATCTTAAATCGAGGAAGTCTCAAGTTATGTCTGATTATTGGTGATTTATTGAATGTTTGAGTTTCTCACTTCCTGTTTTTATGAACTTATATCCAAACTGCAAAGACTGGGGAAAAAAATGTGATCTGTTATCATGTCCTCTAGTACTCATGTGTCTGGAAGATGCTTGTTGCCAATCTTCAACTGCCCATTCCATTTCTCAGGAGAATCAAACAGTTTTTGTTCCAGCTGCAAAAAAGGAAAAGAAAAGCTATTGAAATCTAGTATGTTCCTACTTTTTGTAAAGGGGAGAATCCATTTTGTCACCAAAACTGCAGGAGGTAGCACTGTACTAATCTAGGACTAGTGTTTGAAATAGGGGAATTAACTGTCTTTTGAAGTGTCACAATTCTTTAGTGAAGATTGGCTCTGAGAAGCTAATCTGTTTGAAAAATAAAAAAACCTCACCTACATTGAAATTGTTTTAAATAATTGTGAATTTGTTAGCTTCTGACTGACTTACCCTGATTAGATGAGGGCTTAATTATTACAATTTCTGAAGCAAGTACTCACTTGCTTTTAATAAAAACAAAACAGACTAACATTGATTTTCAGATTTAGTCAATCTTTTAGGAACGTATAGAAGAAAAAAATAGGTGCTCCTGTGCCTGTAGAATGTATGAGAAATCCAGACAATAAACAATACTAATGTAGTTTGTAACTGTGTGACTTCCAGCATGTCTGGGAGTTTTGGCAAAAATTGGACATGTAATCTGAACTGATATGCATAAAAAGAAACTAATCGGGATTAAAAATAGGCATGTTTAGACTGGCAATCTAATTAATTAAAAGAAAAAGTAAAGGGATAAATGAAATCATGTCTTAAACAGATTAAAACGTGAGACTGTTCCTTTTTGCCCCGGTAAAATAATGGCACAGAAACAAAAATTTTGCGGAGTTGGAGTGGTTTGCATCTACTGTTGCTCATGTAAAATTGCACACATTAAGTTTGAAATGAAGTTGTGTATAAGGCCTTAATTTTTTTTTTTTATTTGAGGATGGAAGTAGCAATAAGCAAACTTCCTATAAAACCAAAATATATATAAATTTCCTCTGATTTCAAATCACATGTTCTTTCACTAATTTTCGTTTTCATGCAACAGAGAATCAATATATCTTTCTTGTTTTTTCAGCTAACATTCATTATAATTCTGTTTACTTTCTTTAATTAAGAAAATAAATGAGTTAAATCCTTTTAAAAATATGCTGAGCTTAAGGAGGATATGTAGTGAGTATAAATTTGGAACCATTTCACGTTTTATACGAAGGTTATTCATTAAACATTATTACTACATTTAAAAATACACATCATCTTTTTTTTACCAAAGTGAGTTTTGTATAAATTTGCTTGATAAATTTTAAAAACTGATAAACAGAACCATAATATATTAACATATAATGCTTTACTGTGAAAACTCGAGCAGATTTACTCCGAAACAGAGATGAAAGTGAGATGCAGGCATTGAAATAGGATTAAACAGCAGGTGATATGTTCTAATTGCACTGTGTACATACACTCAATTTGGCAATAAGTTACATATAGTATGTGAGCATCCTCCACCTCTAGATGTGATGTCAGAATTGCTTGTGTTGAAATACCAGTCAGTCTGTGTGGTTCCCGATGCCTCCATTGCCATTTGTGTGTGCTCAGAATTCATCAGCCTCCTTCCCCATAATTTTTCCTGAAGTTTGCATCTTGCCTGTAGATCAAGGGTTGTAGTATCTCAGATATTTGATGCTTGAGATGGTCCTAAGCTCATATCACGTGGATGTGACATATCCTGGCTTCCCAAATGCAAAGTATTGACAAGTTGGAAAGATAACCGTCTAAACTCACTCTGTTCCTCTGATACTTTGAAAGAGGGTGAAAACATGTTTTGGCCTCAGATAGCCTGGCCTTTTTGCAGAAGTTCCTTCACCTTTACTCATTCAAGCTACAGAGTATTTCACAGCACAAAAATACAAATGTGCCCCTTGTGGTCTGAACTCTGCTGTCAGTATGTTGCTGATGGCTAGTATTTGGGTTGTTGTTTGCTGCAATTGCTAGTCCAATTGTTGAAATATCTTGGAAATAAATGGAGAAAATAAAGCTTGGTGGCCCATGTGGAGCCAATCATTTATAGTCTCTTACAGAGGGTGGTATTGAGCAAACTAACATATTTACTAATAGTAATCTAAAAAGGGGGAATTCACTTGAGTTGTTTCTTCCTTGGATTGTCTCATAGGCTGAATGTGAGATTTTCCTGCACATGCTGTGTCCAGGAAGGGCTACTGCTAAGACAGGACTAATATTTGGATAGGCAGGACTTGACTGAGTGGCCTGAGCTTTAAATGTTTCAATTACAGCTGTAATGTTCTGAAGTGGTGTGAATTTTTTAAACTGTTTTGCAGTTTGCACTTCCAGTGTTTTCTCTGGTGCTCTGAGTTTCTCTGTTTATGTACTTGAAGGATTTCACGTGTTTTATTACTGCTTCACTCTAAAGAACTCGGCCTTTCACCATTCAGTTTGCAAATGGTTGTTCAAATACAACTTCTATGAAGAGAGTGTATGATAAGTCTGTGGGAAGCAGGAGTGAATTGCCTCTTGTCCTTACTGATGCTCTGAATGTAGAAAACACTGAGGAGTTCTACTCATTTTCTGTTGCCTGTTTCCTCCACTTCCTACTTGAAGTTCTTTGAGTTTCACTTGTTTTGCCTCTGAGCCACACAGAGTTGCCCACAGGATTTTTACTTCTCCTGGGAAGACACAGGGGCTGTTCCCCAAAGTGTGAAGTCATAAATGAGTCCATGTCAAAGCCTGAGCTGAAAAAGGAGGTGGATGCTTGGAAGAAATGCAGGGATAAGCAGTAACAGGAGATTAAAATGGAGTTGTGACTCCTGAATGCTTGTTCTGTATATAGAGAAATGTAAATTTTCTCTAAACAAGTTGGCTTGTTTTGCAAAGATGAATGGTATTTATTGATTTTTATACACAGGTAAAAATGAACTTGAAGTCTTGCAATAAAATACATTAGCAGGAGACAAGCTAAAGTAAGAAAAATGAGTGTGAAGTGAGTTACCATCAGTGTTGAGGTTATTCAAGAAATTCACTGGATTATAGTAGCTATTTCAAAGAGAATTCCAACTTTACAGTGACAGTAGTTGAAGGCTAGTTACTGAAGCAAAATGACACTTACAAAAATCTCAGATGCTGATGATATGCAATGGAAATGGCTTACTATTGTGCCAGTAAAAAAAACTGTTTTAAAGCCACTTCTCTTAAGAGAAATTTTCACCATTGTTTCATGAAGTCTGTTTTGTTTTAGCCTACAGATGTGTTTATGTAACAGATCCTTTATATTAGCTTGTAAAACCTTTCATTGTAGTCTTGCATTGTGCACTACCAGCCCTGGAAGTGTATTTTTGAATAAACTCGTTATTTTACTGGATACCTCTTCCACAAAGGGCATCATTGTATGGTAGGTCTGTTGTACAAAATTAAGGGGTATGGTTATTTAATTCAACTCCTATTCTTTTTACCTCATCTCTGTTCTCACAGAGTAAAGTATATCCTCATGTACCGCTTGTGTATTGCCAAGTCTACTTTGTAAGTGTATATGCAAAAGCGTCAGGATCTTGCGCAAGGAGTTTCTTTAACAATATTTTATTGCTAGAGACACTTATTTGTTTAGACCCTTGGGGACCTTGAATAAACAATAAGGCTTCACTGTAAGGGTGCTAGACAGATGATCTATTTGCATTTTCTTTTATGTTCTTGCAAATGTCTGTAAAACTGTCAGTTTGAAGGAGCCAGTTTATCAGTGAAAGGATAAGGAAGAGATAAGTCAGTTTAGTTCCACATGTTTGAAGTAGCTACTGCACTTACCCACATGTGTGTTGTGGATGAAAATATGCTACTGAAGTATTTTCATTTTTTTTTCAATAAAGGCAGAAAAAGTAGAATGAAAAACCACCTCTGAGTTGAATAAAGTAAAAAAAGTACTTCCACAAAACAAAATTTGCATGCAGAAATCACTATGCCTAATCCTATTGAAAAAAACACTGAAATTCTCAGCTGCAATAAATCTGAGATTCACCTCTTTTAGTGAAATATATCTGAGTTTGGAATGTGGACTGAGGTGTTGATAAGCCTGAAGAAATTCAGACCATAAATATTTTTATGTAATCTTCAAAAAAGAACATCAGTTTATGTAGATGCCTGCCTTAGGCTGTTGTCAAATTCAAATGATCAGTGCTTTTTCTGTTATGTCTATATTTAAAAGTTGGTTTAACCTAAAATTTCATAGTTTTACATTTGTGCATGATCTGTTTTGCACAATTTGTTTTTGTTTCTAGAAGAAAAAAACAATCATGTCCTGTGTTGTCAGTGATTTCCTTTACCTCCCACTCAAACTATTTTTACCAGTGTGTTGAAAAAATGGAAAAACGAAAAAACCCCAACCCATCTCCAAAAATAAAACAAACAACAAAAACCCCAAGTTACCCTAGACTGAGTGTATGTCTCTTTATTAGCCTCATGATGGCTATTATGCCCTTTCATTGTCCTTGCAGATGTTTCCCTTGATCTTTTTTCCTATTTTTTCCCTCAGTTATTTTGCTGATGGCCTAAATATTGCATAGAATTATTTTCATCTCATTTAATTGTAAAACTCACACTATTATGCTGCACTGTCAAGTCTTATTTTATACTGATAAAATGATCCTTGCATTTAATAGGGTGGGATTTTAGTTGTATATACAATTGACTTTATAACCATACCCAATAAGTAGTGGATTACTGGTCACAGATTTTGGATGTAATAAAAAGCATTTGAGCATTTACATAACAAGACACAGTCTGTGTATTTAGAGGACTTTCTTATTTTGAAGGCTTTGGACTCCATTTCAGTTTGGTGTTGTGTTGAACTGACCAGACCACTGTGCTGATTTCCCCTTGTGGACAGTGTAGGTGTAAATCCACTACTGGGCATGTGGGCTTCAGAATATTTTTAAGCTAGAGGGGCCTTGTTAAATGAGAATAGGGATGTTGGGCTTTAGGGAGAAAGCTGGGAGTTCTAGTAAAATTATTTGAATAAAGGTTATCATGAAAAATGAAATAATTGTTTTAAAATCTTAATTTTTAAAAGATTTAGTTAGAAAAGCTGTTAAGTATCTGACAAACAACTGGAGTCTTTGCAACCACTGAATCATGTGGCTTCCTGCCTTATGTGGGCTTTGTTTTGTTTTTCTGTGCAGGAGGCTCTGTTCTAATTTTCGGCACATCATTTGACAGCTTTTCCTTTGGGAATACCCAAAATACTTTTTGGTGGTTTGACTATGTAAAACTAGATCTTAAAGAAATGGAATTATATCCATGAAAACATTTACAAAATCTAACCATCACCGTTGAAACTTTCAGGAGTGTATATTCGATTAACCTTTATTAGATAAATTATTTAGGATACAATACCCAGAAGATTGATGTTTCACTTTGCTTTCAACTAACACTTTGTTCACCACTTTCTTATCCTTCATTCTGTATGACCCACGCAATTTTCTTCTGATCCCATCATCCCCACACAACTTCAGGTTGAATTTATGAAAGGCATAAGTGAATCACCGCCACAAAGTCATCTCCTGCCTGTGCAGAAAGAAAAAGAAATAAGAGCAAAACTTTTCATTATTTTGAGGCTGTAGTTTATTTTATTAATTTCTATGGTGTCTTTGAAACAAGATTAGAAAAAACATCTTCCCTGGATAGAAAAACAAAAAAAACACACCCTACCCACCACAAAACCCCAACATTTTTTGGAGGAAGCTCTGCTTGCCACAGTTTTGGAGCAGAAGTTTAAAATTTGACAGGAGAAATAAATTCAGTATCTCAAGGATCTGTCTTTGCCATCACTTTTCAAACCTATTCCACTTCAGTCAGGTTAAAAGACTTTGAAGGGTTGGAGTTGACACATTTTGGTAGACAGTTTTAAGATCTTAGGAGCTGATTTCCAGACAGGTTGCATTTAAGTGAGCTCACTCCATTGTAGGTGGGACCATCAGGAGTGTTTCTATAGTTACAGTTCTGAGAAGGGTCACGTCTTTGCTAAGGTAGATGTGAGAACTGAAATGATTAAACTCTCTTCTTTCATGCTTTTTTCCTTTTTTTTTTTTTTTCCCCTCCTCTCCAGCAACATAAGAATCCAAAACTGGCGAGGTGAGAGGAAAGAGAATAGGACAGGGTGTAAGGGTGGAAAGAGATAGGATTGCAGATGGACTAGAAGCAGTCATGCTCCTGGGAAATGCACAGAAATCTGTCTGCTAAGATTCATTCCTCTCCACAGTTTGGAATGCAATGTAAGATTTGTGAGTCACCATTCCTGTCCTGGCAGAAAATATCTGTGAAGTCTCTGGCTGTCTTTGCTTACCCCCTGTTCATCATCGCTAATACCAATCCATACTGCAGTATGGAGGTTACATTTCTCTTTATATACTGAACAGCAGAATTTAATATTTACAGATTCCTCCTGTGCTGATGAGAGCCATGGAGTGTCAATTTGACGTAACACAACAGCTTTTTTTTTTTTTTTTTAAGTGTAGGATACATAAGTGACCCAGTCTTCCCTATCAACCTTTGAATAATTAATGTGGCAAAGTTAATAACTCATAAATGAGGTTATACCACTGCCATCATGCTAATGACACTGGCAGTGCAATGGAAAATTTTATCATAGCTGTCTCTGTCAGAGTCCTAATGTTGCAAAAATTTAAGGCAGGCTGTTGAAAATACCTACTCATTTTGTTTTCTGCACAATTTTGACGCAAATATATTTTAATTTTACACAAAAATACTGTGCAAGTGACTTGAAATTAGATGAGCACTTCTAGTAACCAAAAGAGATGCTTTAAAACTTTACCATTTGGCTTTACATTATTATATATTATTATTATTATATATGTTAGCACATTACAGGAACATCAAAGGTGTAAGACATTGTTTCTATTTGCTGCTTAAGGTTGCGTTACTGAATTTGTTCAGAGGGAATTATGGCTTATAAGGCCAAAAGGGATCACTGCAGTCTAGTCCAACTTCCTTCACAAAACAAACTGCAGCACTTCCTTGAATCACAAAACAAACTGCAACACTTCTCTTTGTACTAGAGCAGCATTTAAAAAGCTTACCATGGCATACCTGGTATATATGAATGCAAATAAATGTGACTCTTATGGAAGAAACCGTTTGAGGTACAAAGAGGTGAAAGGTTTTTACCTAGTCCTCACACAACACTTGAAAAGCAAGATTTCTCCTGTAATTCATTCATATGATTTGTTTATTACTACTTTCTCTTGTAGGAAAGGGATCATCTAATTCAAAATTGCCATCTGTTCCTACAGTTTCTTCAGTGCCTGAGGATTCCGCCTCAAATATGAGGTAACTTCTTCAACTGAACATCTGAACAGCTGTGCTGTGGCTCACATTTTTGATATTACAGTTGATATTATTTTTCCACATAACTTAAGAATGTTCCTTTGCTGACGTACAACACATAATGAGGGTTTGGGAAAATACTGAGCAACAGATTATTAATTCCTTCTTATAAATGTATATCACATATCACTTAACATTGTCAAAACCTATATTAGTTTTTACAAAATTTCAGTAGCTTCCTTCTCCTGTTTCTAATCACATGTATCTCTTTACTAGTATTACAGACAGGCTTGAACATGCTTTGGAAAAAGCTGCCCCACTTCTGAGAGAGATTTTTGTGGATTTTGCTCCTTTTCTTTCTCGGACTCTTTTGGGCAGCCACGGGCAGGAGTTGCTGATAGAAGGTACAAGTAAGTTTCCATTTAAAAAAAGGTTTTTTTAAATGTGTGCTTTGTTTTACTTTGGAGACTCAAGATTTCTTTGTTTAGGAGATTTCTTCCTTCCTTTCCAAACAGTGATGTCCACTGGATTTCTTTGCCTCCTGTCCCTTCCGTCTTTAGTCATCTGAAGTCATTGTCATTGCCTCCTCATTTTTACCATCTCTGTAACCTCTTTGTGTCCATCTGATCTTAAATTTCATGTATCTCATTATGAGAGACAAACTACAGTTGTCTCTTGGTTAGTTTTCCAACTCTTCCAGCAAATTGTCCCGTAGAAGCTGGTGTATGAAATATGTTTTGTGAGCCTTAAAAAAAAATTGGTGTCACGGTCAACACTTTTTTGCAAACTAAAGTGTATAATGTAGAAAGTTAAGCACAAAGACTTGCATTTTTACTGGGATGTTATAGCAGAAGGCTTCTTGGGAACTGTCAGTGGAGCATGTTCTGGTCCGTTTCTTGCATGTGAGTCTGCTTCTGCCTTTCTGGTTTCCAACTGGAAGGCAGCCATACAGGTAAGAGAAATACGTTGTCAGTATTGAGAATAATTCTCTGGTACTTTTGAGAAAATAAAGATTCATGTGCACAGCATTGATCATGACTTTTCTTGGTGAAGAGTGGCATAAAATGATTGAGACTGAGCTGATGGACTTTTCTTTCTACAGGTAGGATTTCTCTGTTTAAGAATGAGACTCAGTTCTGCAATGCAGACATTAACATCCTCAGTTTGAAAAGTCGTGTCTGTTGGAACACTGTGACTTTAGTAGCGACACCAGTTTTTTAATTTTCTCATAGTTTGGCTATATCATATGCTTTGTCCACTGATTTTTAGAAAGAAAGTTGCAGGTTTTGTCCCCTTAAAGAGGTGACTTGAATTAGAGCCAGAGCTTGTTGGAGTTTCCAGTGAAAAGTGCACTCATGGTAGAATCTCATGGTTGCTTAACTTGAGCTGATAACTGGCACGTGAGCTGTATTTGTGCTAATACAACTAGTTTCTTCCTAGGGAATTAAAGGTCCACTTAAAAACATTTTTGGAACTAATTGTTTCTTGAATTAGGACAGTCATCCTGTATGTAGTTCTGAATATGATTAACGTTGGCAGAAACACAATTACAGTATCAAACACGGTCAAGCGTTTTCCTGAAGAGTGCTGATATCAAAATCAAGAGTTTGTTAAACTTCACTGACACTAAAGGTGTTTAGTTTAGGAGTTTAGCTTGCTTACTGGTTTGGGTAGGAAGAAATGGAAGGAAGATGTGTGCAAATTGCCTTCTGTGAGACTCAGGAAGATGGGATTCTACTTGTGTTTATGCACGTGGGCATCACCTTAGCTGATAAACATTTTAATGGAAGCTGCCTTATGAACAAAATTATTTCATTCATTTAATAAGAAAAACCAGAAAAGTGATTTTCCTCCAAGCTCTATTTGCCAGAGAAGTAAATATCCTATTTAGTTACATTTTTTCTTCTCTGAAGATAAAAGATCATCTGGTTTCAAAGTATTTTGACTGTAGTATAGGTTATATACTCAGATAAATGAGTATTTCATAGATTGAGTGACCAAAAAAAAAAAAAGGAGAATAATTATTGGGAGTGTATGAACTGTCTAGACAAAAATAAACACATGAAACCAATTTTTGGGCCTAAAACTCAGTTACAGAAAAACACCAAACAAAATGCGAACCCAAATAATAATAATAGTCAAATTAGTTTATAAACAATTGAAAATATATATAATAGGTTACTGCTTGCACTTCTGCTAAGGTTTAGTGTGGGGTTAAGGGTCAAAGTACTAATAAGAGTGTTTGGGATGTCTGCTGCCATGAAACAAAATGGAAACTTGATTGATAGCTGGGGGCTGAAAGGAGAACGTGCAATGGAGAAAGCAAAGGTCATAAAGCCATTTCCCTTCTCTGCATATATAATGATCCAATCCTTCAAGAAATAGCAAAATGTAGATACAGTGGATTAATATAACATATGTTAACCACACTTCTGATCATTTTGACATACAAACATTTATGTGAATAATGGAGGTAATGTATTACTATTAGCTGTATTGCTATTAGTGGTATGAAAATTTCGGTTTTCTTTTGTTTGTCAAAATGCTCTTAATCTATTGAACTTCAGAACAGTTTGTGTTAGTAGCTGGTGCCATATAAACATGCATTTGTGTATACTTTTTTCTTTTTGTAGGTCTTGTATGCATGAAATCTAGCAGTTCAGTTGTGGAGCTGGTGATGCTTCTTTGCTCTCAGGTGAGATTTAAGTAGCAATGTCTGAAAGTGCTGTCTTTGAACACAATGAAAATTAAAGTTAAAATTTGACTTTAAATTTGACTTTAAGCTTATATAAATATGTAAAGAGATAATGTACAAGGCCTTTTGATTAAAAACAAAATCATAGTAATTGTGTCTATTCAGTTCAAGAGAGAAGATATGAATGGTCTTGTGTTACCTTACTAGTGAGCATTTACATAACCTTGAAGATGGTGTGCCTAAGTAATTCTATGTTGTCATTTTTATAAGGTAAAATAGGATCAATAAAATATTAAAGTTAAAGAAACATTGATTTCTGCATCTTGACAAGCTGAATCCTCTGGGATAAATAGAATTTTTCCTTTTGTGTAGAGGTTACAAAACAAGTGATAAATACTTTTGAAACCCTGTCATTCTCAATTGATTTGACGAGTACTAAGAATTTGAGAAAATTTCAGTAAGCAACCCTGATTGTCAGCAGTTTGGTACATTCTCCACTCCTAAAGGCAAAGTGATTTTAGATATTTAAGAAGTGGCCTGTTCCCATGGTTAGAAAAGAGCCAGAGCCTGAAGAACTTTAAATTGTGTATGCTGTATTAATTGGATTTTCTTTTGGGGTTTCTTGTTTTCTTTTTTTTTTGTAATTAAACGGAAGACTGTTTTTATTGAGCCTTTCTTTTGGTGCCTTAAAAATTATACCTTTCTGGTAGTAAATTCCCCTGCTTAAAACTTTAAAATAGCCTTTTTTAATGGGAATGGTATTGGTCTGGAGGTCAAGGGTTCTGACCCATTTCAAAACCTTTGACCTTCATTTACAACCCTTATGGTTTGCTTGCCTGACGAATAAGGATAATGCAAAATTAATGTTTCTTCACATCGATTTATTCGTTTTAGTGCCTATATTGCCAAATTTATTTAGAGTGTGCTGATAGACATTTCATGAATACAAATGAAAGAATCATAGAAGGTGTGAAAAATCGATAGTCTGCATTGTCAATAAAGTGCAATAAGAACAATTACTTCTGGAGATTACACCTAATAGATTTTACAATGAACTAGTGAAGAGTAGTTATGTTTTCTAGTGAGGTTATTATTAATGAACGTAACTAGAACTTTGCTCACCTACTTTTCCATCTTCCTCAGGAAATACAATATCTTTTTACCCTGAAAGGAATTTAATATTCGTTTTGGAACTTTTGGAATTTAGAGATTGTTATTTTACATATGGCAATACTGGAAGTGAACGTTGTTCACAACTTCTAGAATATGAACTTGCAGCTGATTTAGATTAGAAAAGAATCTTTACTACCAAGAAATCTGTATGCAAATTTTACTGTTCATTCATTAAAGTGCTAGAGTAGAACTAATCTGAGTATTAAATATATGTCTGACAGCTTGGTATTACCATTTTAAAAAATTAGTTTTTGGTATCCATGCTGCTTGTATCAATAATTAGTGCTTGACCTTTCCCTCTTTTTTTGGTAGGGTAATCTAATCTTTCTTAAAATCATGTTGTACTCTGTACTGTACGTCACTTGTTTGGTTTTGGGAAGTGGAAAGGACAAGGAATAAATGACGTGCTCTAATGCATCTATTTGTCATATGTGTCACAATGCCACTTAATGCTAATCTAATCAAATTGAAGCTATCGTGATTGCTTAGCAGTGCTGGTTGCAGAGACCGAGGTTGTTCTTTGTGAAATAGTAGAAATAAACCAATAAAGTCGCAAAGACCTCAAAGTCTTTCTAAAGTTGCATAGCAGCTGTAATTTTTGGCAGAATATGAAAAATGATGTGAGAAATGAATCTAAAATTAGCTCCAGATGTATACAGATTGTTCTGGGGTGATAATTACATTTTTCACTTTGAATTTTCCTAATTCAAAGAGGTCAGCATGGCAATCACAGAAGTGATTTATTTTGTTAAGAAGTGAACTGTCTTTTGCTACATGAAAGCTTGAGAGATATGAAATTGAATTTCAAGCCGACATTTTAGAGATACTGGGAGGAGATGGGGTTGAGCTTGATTGATTTTTTTTCCTTTTTTTTTTTCTTTTTCTTTTCTTTTTTCCCCCCTGCAAGATAGGGTGGGAAATGAAGTGATATCCTTTTGCTAAAATTTTAATTAATTTTTAAGAGGAGATGGAGAGGATGAAGTGCCAAAGATCAAAAGATCAGGTCAAAAAACAGTTTTTAATCACATAAATAATGTGGCATAGTTACAAAGTAAGTATCTGCAAATTTGATTTAAAACTTCACAAATTTGTCAGCCATCACTTTATGAAATTGAAAGATTGCTTTGATTAATCTTTGGTGTTTTTACGATAACCTCTTCTCAAAATTCATATTAAACGTTGTATATCCAATGTAAGCCATTGGATCGTTTTTTCTTAAACATCTGACTTTTTCCTGATGTTTATTTAGATTTGTGGCTGAAATATGTTTTTTTTTTCCTCAGAAGTGCAAAATGGCATAATAATATCGCACAAGTAATTTTTTCATAACATTGTGAAAATAAAGCTCTTTCCTATGTGAAGTGTTTTTTTTAAAAAAAGGAAGAGGTACCATTCTGTGGAGCTATTTGTGACACGTGGTGAATTTCTTTTCTTGTTTAAATTTCATATATTTAGGTATATGGAAAAAGACCATTGCTTTTGTATTTGTTTAGTGTTTGCATGTTGGTCTGTTGCTTTCTATTTAACAAAGGCAAAAAGAGAAACAGGTGGTTTGAGATACACACAAAAGGCTTTTCCTAAGACAAAACCAGTTTTTTGATAGACACACTACATTTTGAGACGTGTCTCTGTGTGTGTACTTACATTTCTATAAATCTATCAAAACATAAAGAATCCTTCATTTAATATTACTGCAAAGTGTTCCTGCTTATTTGACATTAATATCATTTTTGAAAGAATCAACGTTGCATTCAAGGCCACTTTATAAAAGCGTTGTGTTGCTCATCCTAATTCAGTCTGACACACATTCCAATAACACTACCTCCCTTCTAGGGTTTAAAACTAAATTTATGGCTGAGCATTGTGAAGTGCATCATTTAAAAATGGTTTCAACCCAAAACATCTAATAAATAAATAATGTGTATGGCTACTCAGTAGCAGACTTTCCAGACTAGAAATCATTCCATCGGATACTCAACAGTCCACTATCGGAGAGGGCTGTCAGATAAATCTTATAGTAGCTGCATTCATGTCCTGTAAATCACATGTTATTGTCTGAGCCTTCTGCCAGGTCATCTATTCTTTTCCCATTTATCAGAAATGCATACAGTACAGTGAACCTAGAAGCACCATCTCGTCTGGCCTGGCATCCTGTCGGGGTAATTAAACCAGCCAAAAGAGAGAAGTCCTGCTTCTGTTATCCCTTCTAAATGAGTGACATCAGGATGCTGAAGGTGCTCATGTGCAATTGTGAGACAGGACTTCTGCATGGGGAAACTGATGTCACCCCCAAAGAAAGCATTTTCATCTAAAAGGACTTTGTGCCTAAAACGCAAAGGGGGCTTGTATGAATTGAGTGCATATCCCTAAAGCAAATATGCTACTGTACTTCTTTTCATTAGTCAGATATTTTCTTGAAATACATGACCAAGTAGGAACAGCTGTGATCTTCCCTACTCTCTCATGAAGGGATTAAAAATATTTTTTTCTTGCTCACATGCATGAAGCATTCATCCTGTTATTGTAGCTCCAAGGTGAAACGGTACAAAATCGATTCCATAGTTTTCCTTGATGCCTGTGAATTTACAAAATCTTTGACACTTGAAAAATGCTTCTTTCTGTAGTAAATCAACTGAATCTCCAGTGGAATATGTGTAAGAGAACTAATTGGATGGTTCTTGTCAGAGTCATCTTTGACTTAAGAGCTTTTTTTCTACTGAATCTAAACTTAGACTGACTCAAATACTGTTCAACTCTTGTATAATCTTCTTGGTTCCTCCTTCCTCTGTCCAGTGTTGTTTCGAAAGGACTAAAGGCACATTCCTGATAGCTCATGGCATATATAAAACCAGGACCAATGTTTTAATACATTTAATCTCTACATAATTTATCTTTGAGAAATATTAATATGATATATTGCAATATAACTACATACCCTTAGCTGTTAAATGTATACTGGGCCTTGATAAGATATATCTTTCATGAGGAGGTGGAAGAGAGAAGCATAAACCCTGGTACTCCAGATGTTTTTGTGTGCAGAGATAGCATCTGCTCATATCGCCCAATGAAATATGATTATGGCTGAAAATGTCCTGTGCTGATAGTTTTTGGAGTTATTTTTTGGAGAGAAAAGCATGATCCAGGGCTGTACCATGTGCATTTTAAAAATACAGCAGAGGCTGATTAGTACTATTAAAGCAGAAAAAATTACACTGTGAAAGCTGGTCTTACTGCCTCTGTAGGAAAACTTATGGGTCTTCAGCTCTCTTTTTTTCTAGTCCAGTTACCATTGCTTAAGTGGTGAAATTTTTGCCTGAGGTATTTCTTCAGTATGATCTTTCATATGCTACTAAACCCCTTCTTGAATGGATTCTGTTGCTCCTAAAGAAGTCAGGTTACATCTCTTGCATGGGCAGTATCTTGGTCATATCATATCTCTTACTTTGATAAGGAATCTTAATTATTTGAGCAATATCAACCTGTACCATGCAGTCATGCACCCATACAAAGAGGATGATAGCATTATTTTCCCTAAGGGAGAGCAATAGGATACCAGTTACAATTTGGATTTTTTCAGCAGAATTTTTTCACACCCTCCTTTCGCTTCCACCCCATTACTTCAGTGTTTGTGGGATTGCAGTAGGATCTTCAGGCTTTTATGAGTATCCTCTGCTCAGAAAAAAAAAAAGCTTTGCATCAGTGATCCAAATTCATTCTCTCAGGAATGGATTTCTGCAGCGTGTTCTAAAATGTGGTAAGTCTTTGAATTACTTGGAGATTTTAGTTGATGTAGAAGATGGCAGGTTTTCAGTTGCTTGCAGAGAGAA